CAAATGGACAGAGCGAGGCTAAGAGTGGCTGCTTCGCACCCAAAAATAAAAGTGATACCACTACTGGTTCCAAGCATCTGTGCCTGACAGCCTGGGGGAGCTGTGGCTCATGAGGTAAGCATGCCCTTAGTTCAGGGCCAGGGTACTCCTTAGATCGAGTAAGGTGGACAGATCTGCAACCTGACTGTAAATCCTTGGCAAACAACAAACACGACCCCAACATTATCCTAACCCCCAGAGCACACCCATGCACACACACAGGCACACATCCTTCTCCACCTGTGATGAAAGGCTCCAGGCTTATGGCCAAACATCGGTACCTTGCAAGTGGCCCAGGGAGGGTCTGAGACAGGGATTGCTGTGTTGTCTGACAAAGATGGAAATAAACAGATGAATCTATAGGGTAACGTTACCACAATTTAAATATCGTTATTTTCTGTGGAGCAACAATGTTCTTATACTAAGTATACACCAGAGGTTCCCGATGCTGCCTAAAACTCGGTTCACAGCCAACAGTTATTCCAGAATGACTAGACAAGCGAACGCATGGGTGGATGAATCCGGCCACCGTGGGCTTTACCTTTTAGCTCTTCAGTCTGCTCCTGAAGCTTCCGCTGTATCTGCTCTTTTTGTACTTCCAGCTCCGAATTATGCTTCTGAAGCTTTGCCAATTTCTAGCAAAGGGAAGCAAAAACTTTTTTGAAAAACCTCATTTTAAGTTTGATCACCGTTGTCCTACTTGGTGAAAAGCTGTGTCTTTTTAAAATAGTATGTGTGCGCGTGTGTGTGTATGTATGTATACATGTGTACACACACATTCTATCCATGGATAGCAGCCAGCACCGGCGCATGGCATGACGCTGCATTTACCTTCGCATGCAAGGGCTCCAGGTGACCACAAGCAGACGCCAGTTCCCAGCCTGCAAGGGCTGAGATCAAGGAGCCAGGCCAAACCAAGGTCACCTCACATGTCAAGGCGTCTTCTCTATCCTTTTCTTGAGCTTCTCGACACACAGGGTATTTATCTATTTAATACGATGTAAATTATCTGTGATGTACCGTGGATTCACATTTTGAGAGTGTTATGACTCAGGAAGGCAGGCTGTGTGATCGTCATGTAAGTTCTATTATCTTAGCTCCTCTTGGTCAAGTGTCTGCCGGGCTGGCAGCTGAAGGTGCTGATAGATGGTTGGTGACCGGCAGTGTGGGCAGTGCCAGCAGCCAGGCACCAGGCCTTGGGGAGGCACAGAGACGCCCAGGACTCCAGGCCGCCACAACCTTGGGTGCTGAGGACTTTGAAAAGTGCGGGAGGATGGGCAGGAATAAAGACACCTCGCTAGAAATGATCAGCTCGTGCTTGGGCAGGGCTCTGTGATAGGCGTTTAGCTAAATGATTTCACCAGAGAACTTTCATCCTCAAAACAACAATGGCAAGTTACTTTTTGTCATTTCTGGTTTACATACGAGGAGACTGAATGAGGTCAGAGAGGGTGAGGGCAACTTGGCTAAGGCCACCCAGCCGGACAGCAGCAAGGACAAGCTTTAGAGCAGGGACACTGGGGTTTTTACGTCTGGCTGCTCTTCTGACCCCACCGCGAGATAAGACTGCCGAGCTGTGCGCTGCTGTCCTGGGTGAGGGGCCAAGCTCACACCAGATGGGCCAGCAACAGGGGACCAACAGCAGAGCTCTGTGGGGACACACGCTGAGGTCCCGCCCATGGGAAGACTCACAGTGATCGCCAGGCCCAACCAGCACCAACCTCTTCCACGGTGGCCTTGTATCTCTGCCCCCTCTCCTCATAATTGCGCCGGTGGGCAGCTGCCCTGTCCAGTTCCGATTCCAGTTTCTGAACCTTCTCCGCATCACCGGCCCGAGCGGCAGCCAGGCTGGTCAGCTTCTCCACCAGCCCGTGGTTCTCTCTGTTCTAGAGAACAACAGCAGGTGCTCAGGGGTTTTTCCCAAATAAAGAAGCCGTTCCCTTGGTTTCTCACAGCCTTTACACGGCATCTAAGTCTCTCAGAGGTTCAGTTACATTGGCCACGTTTATCATTGTGAGGGCGTGGATGAGCATCCTCATCTCAGCGACAACAGCGAGGCAGAGCTGGTGGGTTAATGTTCCTGAGCTGGTGGGGCTCTTTTACTGTGGGGCCGGCCTCATCCCGGAGCACCAGGCGACTCGCGTGGTGTGGGCTGGATCGGGTTCCCCATGCCCCCAAGTCACATGGTGAAGTCCTAACACCCAGCACTTCAGAATGTGACTGACTTTAAACAGAATTAAGGTAAAATGAGGCCACGTGGGTGGACTTAATTCAGGATGAGTGGTGTTTTTATAAGAAGAGGAGGTTGGGACACAGACACACACAGAAGGAAGGTGCTGTGAAGACACAGGGAGGAGGTCACAGTTCGATTCCCGGTCAGGGCACATGCCCGGATTGCCAGCTCGATCCCTAGTATGCAGGAGGGGCGTGCAGGAGGTGGCCAATCAGTGATTCTCTCTCATCGCTGATGTTTCTCTCTCACTCTTCCTTCCTCTCTAAAATCAGTAGAAATATATTTTTTAAAAAAAGACATGGGGAAGAGATCGCCATCTGCAAGCCCAGGGGAGACAACTCAGTGGAAACCAGCTTGGCCAACACCTTGAACGTGGAGCGATATTCTGCACAAGCCACATAACACAGGCCTGTCACACAGCAGCACAATAGGGGAAACTGCATCAAAATGTCAAGTGTATTGGTTTGCATGCTGATCCATTCATTAAGGATACTCATGGTATAGCTAAGGCTACATTTAAAGTTCACCTCAGGAGACTCTCAGTATAAACTGAGGCAGCCCAGGAGTGAGCTCCATAGGCCTGGATGCTGCATATTGCACAGCCCTCGCCCACGGGCAGAGAGCAGTGGGAATGGCAGGGGGAGTCTTCTCACACGAGGCAGGGCTGCAGCTAGGCCATATGGACCTTCAGGCAGATTAGAAAATGGCAGCTCCTCTGAGCCAAGACCTCCCTGAGGGAGCCTGGCTTGGCACCCAGACAGCAGCAGCTCTGTGCAAATTAAAAAACGCACCCCTGCCTCCAGGCAGCCCATCTCGGTGCCAGAACACATGGCTCGCCAAGCAGAACCAGGCTGGGTTTCAGCCCCACTAGCCCTCCTGGGCAGCTGCCCTGTGCAGTGTACAACCTGCACGAACACATGTAGCAGCCCTTTAAAATGTGCTTCTATTTCCCGGCTCAGGGTCCATGTGACCTCAACCTCCTGGCATGGGTATAAATTTGACTGCATAGCTAAGGAACTGGCCCAGAACAAAATATATCTATTGGAAAAAGTAAGTATGAAAGATGCATTAGGAACACCTACCTGATCTTCTAGCTTTTTCTGCAGGCGCTGGACCCTGTATGTGAGCTGAATGTTGAGCACGAACCGTCGGATGCTCTGGAACCTGCGCCGGGCCAGCCACGCCCGAGCATATTTCTGAAGGATCACAGCCTTGTGTTCCTCCAGCATCTTTAAAACAAGATTTTATAAAATGCAAACTGGCTCGCCATTCTTTCTCTCATCAACGCCTCCAATGTTGGGAGGTGCAACTACCACCATGTTCCCACAGTGCAAAATACGGATTTCTTGTAATCAGCCCATAGGGACCTACAATAGACTTTTGAAACAATAGCCAAATTCCACCTGTAGCAGCCATGTCCGGACATTCACATACCAGAACTTCCTGCTCTAGGAAGGTCTTCATGCAAAAGCACTATCTCACTCTAGGCATACCTCAGAGATACTGTGGGCTCAGTTCCAGAAACCGAAATGAAGTGAATATCGCAGTAAAGTGAGTATCATGAATTGTTGGGTTTCCCAGGGTATGTAAAAGTTATATTTACACTATAGTGTAGTCTATTATGTGTGTAATAGTATTATGTCTAAAAAACACATAACAATAAAAAATACTTTATTGCTAAACAATGCTACCCATCACCCGAGCCTGTTGGAAAATGGTGCTGATCGACTTGCTCAACACAGAGTTGCCACAAACCTTCAAGGTAAATATTAAACCCCCACAATATCTGTGAAGAGTGAGAAAATGAGGTATGCCAGTGCTGCTGATGAAAAATAACACGAGCCCTGGGGAAGCCTGTGGTCCCGGCCGCACCTTGCGATACCTCCTCCGGGCCAGGCATCCTCGGGTGTAGGCCTGGATGGTGATGGTGGCCACGCGGATCAGCTGGTACAGACTGTGGACAAGGTACCCACGGCAGTGCTTCTGGATGACGATGGCTGCCCAGCCCTCTTTCAAGGCGGCCGCGGTCACAGCTTTCCTTGGTTGAGAAGAATGGGGAGTCAACCTGTTACCCACAGAGCACTGGCTTCTATAGCGTGTGCTCTTTCCGACTAAAAAATAGTCCCATTTTTGCAAATCTACACATTATGCTCTGTGAGTGGTTTTCTTGTAACGCCGGATTGAGATCAGTCATTACCGTCTCCCCTTTCACTCTGATCTGAATATGCTGGCTCCAGGCACCAGGAACTTCACACTCCTCACATTCAGGCTGATAATCCGCCTCCCACACGCCCACAGGGACGGTGGCAACAAACCCGTGCACTGCACTTGCTCCTTCACCTGTTCACTCATTCTGTGGGCCAGCGGGCTGAAGGCTCCAGATCAGGGAGAGGGTGGCAAACCAGGGCCTCGGGGCCAAGCCTGCAGCTGTCCACCTGAGATGGTCAGGTTCTACAGGAACACACACGCCTATGCTTTACAATATTCCCCGTGCCTGACGTCATGCTACACGGCAGAGGTGAACAACTGTGAGAGAAACGGCGGGGCCCCAACAACTCTCACAGAACGCGTTTGTTGACTCCTATCCAAAGGACTGGAGAAGACGACAGAGCTCCTACCTTCAGGATTTACCACCTTGTGGAGCAGACAGACCTATAAGTGGCCAAGTGGGATATGAGAGAAATAGAATGACTGATAAAAGATCCGTCAGCGAGATCTTACAGAACTGCTTGGGAAGGGCTGACCTGTGAGCCAGCCCTTGATGGAAAAGGATTTCTGTAGACAGCGGAGGTTGGAAAAGCATTTCATACTGGAGGCCTAGCAGTGCTGGAATGTGCAGAAAAAGAGACTCTGTCTAAAATTGCTTGAATATGAGATACATGGAAAAAATTAGTAGTCAATGAGGTTAGAAAAACAGATGGGAACCATTTGTTATTAAACTATATATCCATATATATAAAAGCCTAAGTGACCTTTATGTCCAGTTGACCGGTCACTCTGACGACACACTGACCACAGGGGGCAGATGCTCAAAACAGGAGCAAGAAAATGAGGTATGCCAGTGATGTCCCACAGCCAACCTCCTGCAGCCGGCCAACCTCCCGTGGTCCCTTCCTCCGGCTGCCTGGCCCTGATCAGCCCCGATCAGTCCTGATCACCAGCCAGGCCAAAGGACCTCACCCGAATTCATGCACTGGGCCTCTAGTTGAAATATATATATGTATTAGACACCTACTATGTGACAGCCACTGTGCTAGGTCCTAGTATGGATGTAATGGGAAGCAGACAAGTATGGTCCTTGTCCTCACAGAGCTTCCATTCTTATGAATGCATCCAGGCCATAGCAAAGATTGAATGCTTGCCCGGTCAGTGTGGCTCAGTGGTTGAGCATCAACCTATGAACCAGGAGGTCACAGTTCGATCCTCAGTCAGGGCACATGCTTGGGTTGTGGGCTTGATCCCCAGAGTGGGGCATGCAGGAGGCTGCCAATCAATGATTCTCTCTCATCATTGATGTTTCTATCTCTCCCTTCCTCTCTGAAATCAATAAAAACATATTTTAAAAACATTAAAAAGATTGAATGCTCTTTGGTAGGAAACAGGGGCTGCTGGAGGCATCCAGCTCAGGAGCAGGGCAGTGGCTGGATCAGGCCCTGCTTTAGGAAGATGGAGAGAAAGGCGGCAGGTGAAGGAATGTGCTCTAAGGGTGTAAGGAAGCGATGATGGAGGCCTCACCAGGGCAGGCACCAGACAGAGGCAAGTGAAGGGTGCATGGAATAGTCAGGCCTTTGTGATTCCCGACTGGAAAGGGAGCACACACTTGGGGAAGAAGATAAGTCTAGGGTTTCCTGCCCTGGAGGCTGCTGTTGTTAACTGAACTCAGAAGCCCGGGAGGGCGAGCCTGGCTGCAAGTGCATGTAAGCCGGTTGCCTGGGGCATGGGGGCTGCGATGGCAAGACCAGTTTGGGGCGGGCTGAGATGAAGGTGGTGGTGCACCAACCACATGGAGAAGCGCAGGAAGAGGTCAGGCTCAGTGACACACCTGCCTTCGCAACTATCCTAGGAGCATGCCAGGAAGCGAGCTGGGCTACACACATGGAAGCACACAGTGCAGACTGGGAAGAAGGCCTGTCCACTGGCCAGCCCAACATGGCCTCTTGGGAGCACCTGAGGAGGGTGGGACGGGCATGGCTGGTGGGACTGCCCTGCGCTCAGCCATCCCCTTGCGCTACCGCGTAGCCTTGCCCGAGGGCTCTGCATGTGCTGGCAGGGCCTCCCCATCAATCCCCTCAGGCGTGCTCTGTCTCCTGTCCTCTGCCGGTAGTCTGGTCAGTGGCTATTTTTGGCGTCTTTACTCAGGGGCTTCACCGAGACCCTAGTCTTCCTAGGCCCCTTGAGCGTGGCTCTGCCACAAAATACCACGTGCGGGCGCACACGTACAGTGCGATTGAAAATTCGTGGCCCATGCGCAGAAGTTGGTTTTTGGCCTGGGCAAATCT